GATCAAACCTCTGGTCCAGGTCAAGAGCAAGAGCAAAATTACTAGTAACTGACAAGTGTGTAGCAGACCATGTGAAAGAAGCTGGTAGTTTCAGTCTGTTTCCTGACTGATGGACAGGTGTCTACAATGCACACAAGAGTCACCACAACTGCCACCTCAAAGCATCTCAGACAGACCAAGGACTGTGAAATGCTCTGACTGTAAAGTGCAAAGCTCAGAGCCCTCTATAACTCAGCCTTACTTGAATCAACTTCCACACAAAAATGGAGCATGCGAGAAAATCCACTGTTGCCTCTGGCAGTGTATTTCAGCAATTTACTTACCCTCACAGTTAAAGCCTTGCTTACTTCCAGTCTGAATTTGTGTGACATTGTTTGTCAGCCATGCATATGACACTGTTCTCTAAGGTTGGTTCTCCGCATGGGGACCCACGGAGCGTCATCTCTTTGTGGCTAATACCTCTCTGGGACAGGGCTTGAAAGACTGTCTGACCAGCACCCCTTCCTCTCCCAGGACTCATGCTGTACTCCTTCCTGCATTACACACAGCAATCACTGCCCAATGCGCTGGAGGAAGCATTCTTGCTTTTGCCAGTATTTAAGCGTGTGTGTGTGTGTATACGTGTGACTGGGGGGGCACGGGGGGAAGGGTAAGAGTGAGAATTATGGATGCTGTAAGTTCAGCTGCTTGGACATAACTGTCCACCACAGCACGCACTTTCCAGAATGGGATGCAGCTGTTTTCAAGCAGCTGCACAATCCACATCAACATCCTATTTGGTTTGGGCCCACATTCATCTCCATGTAACATCCCCCAGAACAGGGTCAAACACCTGGAAAATCCACAGAGAAACACTCTTAGCTTCAATGGACCTGCAACCAGATTCTTATAGGCAAGATTAACAAGATTTGCCTTTACCTCCTTCACTTAGGTCAGCTGGCACAAAATTTGTTAGACTTCAGATCTAATGCAGCAGAGTAACACCTAGCTGGCATCCTTTGAAGCAACAGGGGGAAGAATTGCTCCAGATTAGTTAAAAGTGCTTCCACATTCTCTGTGGGTCCTGACTGACCACGCCAGCTTCTTGGGATATATGGATATCACAATAGTCAGACCTTTTGGCCTCCAATCCCAACAGCTGTTTGTCTTAGCTTTAAAAAGGGAGTTCTACCACGAGATCCAACAAAGTCACTGCCAGATATACTATTATTTAAAGTACACTCCAAGATACCCGTTTCCTCATCCACCTTTCAGTGTCTCTCACTTTCTGAACAGAGATTTTAAAACATGAACTAGCTGAGAAATAGATTAGAAAGCAGGTGGCAGGAAACCTAATTATTCTCCTCTGCATATGGCTTTTGTGTGGATTTATAAAACATCTGTGAGTGTTCCATGGGCAGCTGTCCAAAGTGCTCTGGAGGAGCCAACTTGATTCACCAGGGCTACTGCCTCTGCGGGAACACACATGATGCTGTTGGACACCGCTCTTACTCAGGGATGACTTCTGTGCATCTGAAATAACAAACCTCGTTCCACGCGGCATGCAGTCCTTTCTTTCTCTTGGACACGTCACCAGCAACCTATAGTTTTTTCTGATGGAGTAATAAATCTGCATCTTCAAACTACAAAATGCTTACCCATGTGGTTAAGATCCTGTATAACAATGGTATACTTCATTGGAATAACAGCCTTAGGATGCTCTGTAAATATAAATTGATTTCAAGCTTGGTTTTATTAGAGGACAAACTTCCTTGAAACAGTTTATACAAAAAGAACTAAGGAGCAATATTGCAATATAGTTCAGGCCAGATTTTGGCAAATTCCTCCCAGCCTAAATCGCTTGAAGTCTTACAAAACAATTCTGTGTCTTATACTTAATGCAGGCTGCCAATGTCTAAAGGTATACAAAGTCTTAGAATCCAATTCATTTTTTAAACCTACTTTTTCCAGATATTCCAGCATGAAAATAGGCAATAACTTCCTAAGGCCAAACTTTGATTATGAGCCACCCATAAATCAGACATCCATGAGGGTTTGTAAATGATCATTGAGATAATGTCTGAAACCAAATTCCAGTAAGAAAGCATTCTTCTTTGGTTTTGGGTTTTTTTGGTTTTGTTTTTATTTTTTTAAGTTACTTCTCAACAGGCATACACTATGAAACCTAAACCGATACAACAAATATTTTTTTGTGAAACTCTTCAATCATTTTCTAGTAAGTTGGTAAGCTATGAGGAACTAAAGCAACATATATCCTGCAGTATATATAGCACAGAGGAAAGGACACTTTTTAAAAGGTACTGCGAATATTTTAAACACAATTAAGTAAAAATGGTCTGTAACATCACAGAGAGGGGCAATGCTGTAAGTTACTAAAGTAGAACATTTTACAATCTGTAGCAAGTTGGTGTTCACCACATACACTGACGTTTGCTTTTATTGAGTATTGCATTCTTGAGTATGGACAATGAAGCCACGTTGCTCATTTTCATTCTCTACCCACCACTATCAGCTTTAAGTACTGCATCAGAAGTATTATTGCATCAAAACAGCCATTAGTGAAACTTCAAAATCTGACAAGCAAGATGTGGGTAATCTGTCACCTCTTTGAGAGCTAAGGTATGCAACCATATTCGTTTGTTCCACAGACAGCCAAAACAAGGCCAAATTCTCTTTGACAACATGTTACTACAACACTATTGAGTTTTCAATACCCAAAAACACTCACCTTCCACAGCTTGCACAGAAAGCTTTGTTTAATGAAATATTTGTAGCATTTCCCATAGATTGACTAGGAAATACTTGAAATAAAAAATATTGTTAGCAAAAGACAAACGCAACTACCGCAGTCCAAGAAAATGCAGCTTTTTACAGATGATCAACTTTGACAAAAATACACACACACACAAAACAGGGAATGTCAAGGGAAAAAAAAGATTCTCATACCACTGCAATTCCACATTTAAAGGTCTGAGTAACATCAGACAGATTTCTGAACACAAATGTAAGCCCTCACTTTCCAAGAGTGAAATCTGGGGATAAAGGGGAAGAGGGAGACAAATTGACTTGAGAACAAGCCCCAAGTACAGCGTGGATACACATGCTGTAAACAAACCTACCTACAACCTGGCAAAGATGTAAATAACAAAGGAAGTAACACAACCTAACAGATATTTTCTAGGGCCTTGTTCCTAAACAGAAGCATTTATTTGCAAAAAAGCAACACAGTAAGACCATGAATAATAAAGTAATTAATAATCAGCTCAGCTCCCAAACAAGTGGAACTTGCAATCTTTCCACTACTTTAAGAACCGGAGAAAAGTTTTAACAGTTGTTTTCCAGATCACCAGCACATAAAGGAGTACACTGCATGTTGAGAAAATAGAAGGCACAGTTGGAGAAACATTTCTTTTAGATGCAGGGGTGAATAAAGCAAGTCCATCCTCAACCAGCCACTACTTGTTCCCATGCCACTGTAACTTTTGAGACACTATTGCAAACCAGATTGGGAACAGTTCTGGGTAAATATAATGTAAATGTAAATATAAATAGTGGGGGTAGCTAGAGGAAGAAATGGTGACTTTGTTATATTTAACCCACAAAAGCTCCCAGATCTATTTACCATGCAGGCCCACAAACAGATGCACCACCACAAGCGAGGAGGTGGCGTGTGGGCTGCCAAACTACCACTACCACAAGAAACACTGGCCTGAGGCTGCAGCTGATCTGTGCCATAATTAGTCTTCTACTTTTCTAATCATGGTAATAAAACAAAGCAAGCTTCTATTCATTTTAGGGAGTAGCACCCTAGATGAAACATTACATCTCCCTTACTCAGTACAACTGTTTCTTCAACTAAGAGCAGGCTTGAAATTCAGTATGTTTCAGACTTAACAAGCATCAGGCACAACAGAAGTCAAATGGACAGTACAATAAGGTCAACCACTAAAGCTCTGCTTCAGCACACTTCTCAGTTCAAGGTCAACGCTGAATTCACTATTAACTTGATTTTGGTTTTAATCGTGACATTCTAGGGACACCTTTTGTTCAGCTTACCCATTGACTTGCCTGGGAGAGGTGGAAATTCTGTAGTTTAAGGACTGAATTCACTACAGACTTTTTACATGAAGAGAACAAAAAGCAGAGATTCCCAGCAGCATCTGAGGAGCAACACCAACAACTGCCCTACCCGTTATTTTGCCATATTTCATGAAAAGTGGAATGCAGAGGAGGAACAAACAAATTTAAGGGGACAACAGTTCCCAATGTAAATCAAATAGCAGAATTTTAAGGTGTAGCAAAGCCCAGCCAAACTCCCTTCCTTCCAAGGTAAGCTGGCATAAAGAAGAAAGCACAACAGCCCAGCACAGGAGACCTGCAGCCTGATCCCAGCTCTTTCGCTGCTCAAGATGACACAGCAAGTCAAGTCATTTCAGCTCTCCAGACCAGCTTCCCCTCAGTAAAATGAGGAATAATACTTCATGTTAAAGTGCTGGAGACCTACAGATGCTCTGCTGTATTAGATGTATTATATGAAGGAGCACTGGTTCCTTCCACACCCCAAGCCTAAATAAGGCTATTTTACACAGAAAAGGACTGCAAACCTCTTGCACAACCATCTGCTATAAAGATTCAGGAAAGGGGCCCAAGTACAAAGGAGGGTTGGTAGAGGGGAAGGGGGAGAAGGAATGTTGTTCATGTGATGCTTGAACTCCACACAGAAAGAAACTTACCTTTACTATTAAATTAATAATCCCATTATTGTGTTATATTGATTGACACTGTAATTGTCTCTTCCTTTGTCAGCTAGATTTCTTGTTGTTATAACAGCAGCAACAACAAAATCTGTGACTGGATCTCAAAACTACAGCTGTCAAACATTTCCACAAGAAAATCAGTCTCAAAACACTAATTGTACAGAACAAGAAATTAACCCCAAGATGACTATAACAGTCAGCTGCAAAGTAAGGATTTACCACGGAGTCCCCCACACCTCTTACCTCGAGCATAGGGCGGGCACTATCGTGGATTGAAAGAATGTGCGTAATGTTATTCTTACTCAATTGCTCTACATCCCGGGCATCTGTGATAAAGGGAAAAAAGGAAGAGAATTTCTTTAATCTCTTGAAATAGCCCACTCTCTTTCCCCTTGTGCATGTTGAAAACCATTTATCAGGTACATTTCTTTTTGAAGCTTCATAAAGTAAAGCAAAACCCCAAATGCAGCTGTTCTAGAATGCCATCATCAGAGTAACGAGAAGACACACTTCTAACTCCAAAACAAATCATATACTATATAAAGAACAAGCTCAAGTGACTCAGGAATGTGTTCTTAAGTCAGAAGTTTCATGTATTTTGCATCTGAAATATGTCTGTGTATGCCTGTGTGCAGGTGATGGCCATCTGAACAAGCAGTCAGAGCTGTACAAGAAATAGCTTACCTCCTCTCTACCCACAAATCCCCCTTCAGGAGATATATTTTCACTTGGGAGACAGACCTTGTGATATCCAGGTCTGAGAAGTGAAGCCAACCGTATCACTTGAAGTGAGGTATTAATGGGCAAGCCAAAACAAGAACTAGATTCTTACTTCCTGCGGACTAGTAGGGAAACATGCATTTAGACAATACATACCAGAATTTTAAGTCCGAAGAGAGAAAGAGATGATAAACATATCAAACGTATGAAAAAGCAAAACGCTACAGCAAGGAAGTGCAGTTGTGAAAAGGTGGTTCCTAGACCTGTAACCAAGGGGTTTCAAACATTTGAAACTGGAAAGCAAACTGGGGCGACTGAAAATTTGATGCTAGATATTCTGAAAGCAGTGTTTGTTTCTATGAGAAAGAAGGTAAAATAGATTATCTGTCATCAGTGAGCAACCTTCCCCATACTAAACCATTAGCATGCCAGAAAATTACCTCAAAGAACCACTAATACAGGTAAAAGTTAGTTTGTGTCCATTTACTTTTGACCTTTTTGCTTGAGAATGGCACAGCACACCATGGCAATTACAGCAGTGGTTTTGTGATGCGAACACCTGCCTTCCAAATCTGCCCATACAATCTGTTCACATTAGCCTGGTTGCACACAAAAAAAGAGCACTGACCACAAAGGTTTCAAACCGGCTCTCTCTAGGTACAAAAATAACAATAGCATCACCTGTACATTCTTTATGTACGTGCAAGAGTTCAATTAGCATCTCTTGCTTCATCCTATTCCACTCTACTGTAAAGTTTCAATGCCTTTTCTACATCACGAAGAGGAATTGAACATTCAATTATACTGCCCTATACACAAGATCCACATGAGCACAGTAACAGGCAATTAAATTTAAACCTAATCCAATTATGAAAGCTTCTCTAAGGCTCATAAAATGGAGAGGAGAGTCAAAACTGCATTGATTTCACTTGCTACTGGTTAAGCCTGCATGATCAACACAGATGCCTAATCCTTCAGGAGAGAATTAACACAAACTCCGTCTGAAACAGAATTAAAAGAACAATCAAAATTTCCTAAAAATCTCACAGTGAGCATTTCAAAGAAGAAATGCTCATGTTTGCCAGGAGAGGTCTTCTAATCCACCTGACCTTCAGATTTTTTAACAGTTTATAGGACAATCTTGATTCCTCAGAGAACACCTAAGCAGGCAAGGGTTTGGAAGCCCAGAAGCCACCGTAAGTGTCCCTAAAAATCACTGCTTTCTGTTCTCCAAAGGCTAAGGGCAGATTTCAGAGCTGGCTGGAACTCATGGTGTTAATGTATACCTAGCACAACGAGACCCCAATCTCTAATTATCAGTATGACCCACATGGTAAGAAATGGCTTGCCACACAAGGCAAACAGCTTTAAAAGGATATATGATCCAAACTAAATGTTGACTGCTTTGAACCAGTCTGAAAGGCCTAATGGACACAGTACAACTCAAAAGGACTGGAAGATTTTAGTTCTTCAGTTAACCAAGGACTTAGGCTAAAGGAATTTCAACAAATCAAAACTATACAGTAAGACAGTGAGATTTCAGATATTCCTAGAAACAAGCTGGAAATGGCTATCCTAGACCTACATCCCAGGGTAACCAGGAGGTCCTCAATATATTTAGGAAACAACCATTCAAATCACAAAAGCAGAGGAGAAAAAGCTTCCCAGCCAATGACTGTATTATCTGGATATAAACTTTAAACAATTTACAAAGGGGAAATTCCCCTGGCACTTGCCATAAGTCTCTACAGATACTACAACCAAAGCTATTTAAACAGCAGTACAAATGAGATGTCCTGTCACTTGTGTTCTCATACCATAAATTACAAAAAAATTAAGGGGTTATGTAAAGGACCACCAAAAGCCAGAAGTGTCACCCTTACCACAGCAATTCTAACTTCTTCACTGTAGCACAGTGTTGTACAACCACATGCAGACTCACATTTTGAAATCACAGCGTGAAACACCCCATTTCCAAATTTAAAGATGAAAGAAACCTATCAGAGTCATAGAATCATTAAGGTTGGA